CTGTGCGCAAGCTCCCCTTGAAGCTCGCTTCGTGCACGTGTGTGTCACTGAAGTGTACTGGGATGATATCGAACTCGCTGACTCTCAAAGAGGCTAAACGACTGGTTCTTCTCTCCCTCAGCATGTCTGCCACAGTCCGTCCATTGGCAGATCCCATTAACTTAGCAGTGATAAATGCCATGATCAGAAACGTGGCAGAAAGCCCGACGTCCCACACGATGTTTGCAACTGCAGTACGCTTCAACTCACGATGCTGGGGCTCCCCTACCTTCTGCCAAAGCAGCTGTAAATACGTTATACATTCCTCTCCATTATCTTTAGTTCGGCCGGGTTTGTCCTTTGCCACGGCCACCGCATCCAGGTCCCCTGTCATCTTCATCTGTGCGCTACGATTGGCAGATACCGATTCCAACTGTTGACCACTAGCCTCCTTAGCCGTCGACTCTGTTCGCTCTTGGGCGCTGGTCTCCTGCGCTGCTGTCATTTGCGCTTCATGAAGAACAGTCTCTTTGTCACCTGCCTGCGCCGCCTCAAGCGCTGTTTCCCCGACTGGTTTCGCAGTTATGCCCTGGGACNCTCTTTGTCACCTGCCTGCGCCGCCTCAAGCGCTGTTTCCCCGACTGGTTTCGCAGTTATGCCCTGGGACGGCTGTGTGCCCCCAGTTGTCTCTAAAATGCCTTTCTGCTCGTCCACCGCAGCAGTCCCTCCTTGTGCTGTTGATATTTTGTGGAAGGGGTGGAACTGCCCTCCCCTGTCCACGAAGGTGAAAACCAGTTCTAACTCCTTCTCAAATAGCACGCCTAGGATATGGCGTCGTCTGTAACTTAGGTTCGATACTGGGACACGGATAACGAGCTTGTCATCACTTTCTTCGAATTTTATTTTCCCTTCAGTCTTGTGCTTCCTACGATCTTTCGCTCCTTGCGCGTAAAGCTGGAGCATTTCAGAGGCAATCTCATCCAGCAACTCAGTTTGCTGTGGGGTCCACCCCTTCCGGGCGATTTCCATTATTTTATCTTCTGCATCGGGATTCTTCCAAGCCTCGAGAGGTGCTTCCAGTTTCCATTCTCTCTTCAAGTTGAACAGGGAGAGCTCCGTCGCCGCCTTCTCCATCCGCTGCGCAAAGCTGTCGTTAGACCGGATGAGCGAATGAAACGCCGCATTTACTCCCATTGTTGATATCAGGGTCAACGCCAGACCGATCACCCCACGGCGGACAATTTCCAATCCATTCGTCACCACTGCAAT